GTGTTTAAGTGCCACGAAAAACAAGTTATGGTATTTAAGTGCAAAAAGGAAAAACTTTGTGATATTTAAGTGTCATTTAGCCTATGAACAACACTATGATACAGAACAAATGAATCAAAATTCAATCAACTACAAGCCTAAATGTTCTAAACATAAGAAAGTAGAAAACCCTTTCTTTTTGTTGATTCTATATCCAAAGTAGATGATACTTAGGGGTTGTTTGCTTGCCAAAAAAAAGAAGGAAATCAAGGAATAGGAAACCTATTTCCTTAAAAATTTGTTTTATAGTTGTTTGGTTGGCTAAAAAAAGAAGGAAATCAAATAATAGGAGATGAGATGAGATGAGTTGTCACCATATTATTGGATGATGTGAGTGATTTTTTAAGAAAAGTTGTTTTGAGGTTGTTTGGTTGGTTAAAAAGAAGGAAATCAAAGAATAGGAAACATATTTCTTATAATAGGTTATTCTCTTGTGTTTGGTTCATTCTTAAAAATAGGAGATGAGATGAGATGAGTTGTCATTAATATTATTGGATGATGTGACCCACACTTAGGGGGGGTTATTCGTTGGTGTAATTTGGTGTAATTTGGGGTAAATTGTTCCAATGGGGTAATTTTACCCAATGGGATAATTGAGTGGGATAAAGTGGGGTAAAATAGGGTAATGGGACAATTTGAGTGGGACAATTTTAGTATGACATCTTTTTATAATATTATATTTATAGCTCAATTAAATTCAAGTTTAATTTGATATAACATCAAATGATTAAATAAATAATAGTTATAATATAAAATAATATTATTTTTAATATTATTTTAATATAAAATATTAAAAATAATATAATAATATTAATATTAATCAATCTTAAATTAATCTGGGTACAAAGAGGATATCACAATATATATCAATGAAATCTGGGCAAAACACACCACATAACATTACATTAATCTGGGTACAACCAAACTCAAATTAATCTGGGCAAATTTTGGACTTACAATCATTTCAACCAACTCAAATTACATATATATCAATGAAATACTATCATGACATAACCTCCAATTGATCATAATATAGCCAAAACACACCACATAACATTATATTAATCTGGGTACAACCAAACCGAATTATACCAATGAAGAACAACCATTTCGCATATCACAATACAAACAATTCTAATTTTGATATTAAAGAACATACAATCAAACATAATATCAAATAAGCATCTCCACTTCCCCATATTAAACTATGTTTCTCAAATTATTTCCCAAATTGGTAACAGGCCAGAGCAATAAGAACAAAATTAACATGCATCAGAATTATAAATTAATTTAAAACCCTCGAAACTGAAATTGTCGACTGAGACTCATCGTCCTCCGTCGACTGAGACTCTTCCCCTCGTTAAACCCCTCATCGTCCTCCGTCGACTGAGACTCATCGTCTTCATCAGGACTCGCCGGTCTCGCCACCGCTTCGAGCTCCTCCTCGTCCTCCACCTCCTCCTCGCTCTTCTGATCGTCGTCGTCAGACTCCGTAGAGTCGCTGGAAGAGATCGTCGGATTCCAAGGGTTTCGCCATGGAGGATTTGGGGGGAAATACACGAGGGATTTGATTTTGGGGGCTCGAAAAGTAAAGGAGGTGTGGGGAAATCCCTTCCAGCGACGACGACGACGACGGAAATCCCTGCTCGGGAACGACGACGACGGAAAAAAAATGGGGTAATTCTGTTCCCCTCTTGTTCCAACGAAAAAAATGGGGTAAATTTGGAGGGTGGCGCTGAGAAGAGCTTATATAGTTGGGGTAATTTGGGGGTAAGTGGGGTATTTGTCCCCCAATTATCCCAACAAACCAATAACACCATAAAATTGGTTCTAGTTCCAAATACCCCAATGAATAACACCAAACATTGGTGTTTCAAAAATTATCCCATTATCCCCTAAATTACACCAATGAATAACCCCCCTTAAGGAAATCAATTTCCTTGTTTTTTTGGAGGAAATGGGTGGAGATGAAATGGAGATGAAATGAGATGAGTTGTCACAATATTATTGGATGATGTGGGTGATTTTTAAAGATGAGATGTGATAGAGATGAGATGAGTTGGATGATGTGACCCATTTCTTTTGTTTGGTTTATTTTATTGGATGATATGAGATGAGTTGTTGGGTGAAAATAATATTTTATTGGATGATGTGGATGAGTTATTGGATGAAAATAATATTTTATTGGATGTTGTGGGTAAGTTTTAGGGATGGAAATGGTGAAAATTGAACTTTTGGAGATTTCCAAGTTACAATTTCCTATTCTTGGTTTTTTAGAAACCAACCAAACAGCCCCTTAGTGCACTCCTCACAGTCACTGTAATACAGAGCAAATGGGTCAAAATTCAATCAACTGCAAGCCTAAATTATCTAAATAGAAGAAAATAGAAAAACTTATTTTTAATTCTAAATCTAAAGCAGATGATACTATTAGGAGTGGAAACGAACCAAATACTTAACAAATAGTTCGGTATTTATTCACTTAAGTATTCTGTCATATTCAATTTGATAGTTCATTTACCCATAAATGAATAGTTTTTACTATCTGTCTCATAACGAATAGAAATTAACCACAGGTATGTTCGATTCGTTTGTTTAATAAACTATTCGTTTACATATTACACTTTAGACCTATAAATTTCAATCAATTTTCTATGCATCCCAAAAGTGTTTTACACATATAGCCTCATATAAGTAGTTTTTTATTTTAAATATTACATTTATCACTAGGTTGCATTTACATTGGTTATATCATGTTTTGACTGCATTATGAAACTAAGTAAGATAACGAATATTTATCAAATATTTACCGAATGTCTACCAAATATGAACCAAATAATTCACAAAAGACTACATAAAAACAATTAACGAATGTTCACAAATAGTTGTCAAATACTTGAATACTAATTGAATCAAATTCGAATACACATTTCCTATTTGTTTTGAATTCGAATACGAATTCAAATGGTTGAATATGAGCTAAAACAAATATTACTATGGTATTCGATTCGAATTCAGTTTGTTCCCACCTCTACTTAGTACACTCCTCACAACCATTGGTTCAAACCTTTGTTGTTAGTGTGACACCCCAAACCAATACAAATATTAATGGAAATGATAATAAAATAAAGGCACGTGGCAGTCAGACACAAGTCCTCCTAACGAGAGGACCTGCAAAGCCTAACTCCAATAAGTTCCGACAAATATGTATTTCCATACATGATCTACGATAAACACTTTATATTGCAAATTGAAGCTTATAATATATATCAACTCCAAATAGCTCCTTACCAAATCATCAGAATATTTGCAACCAACGATCCGATTCACCCCCTAGACTTGATCCCCAAGCCAAACTAATCTGAAAATGTTATTTATATCTGGGCCGGGTTGAGCTTTCCATGCGCTCAGTAAGTGACGTGCATATTCGATAATTTATGTAACTAAAATCATGCAGACAATAGAATATTGTCCAAATAGGGAGTATATAGCAAATATGCAATATCTTTAGAAATCAATTTTTATGCATAGAAATCAAGCAACGTCACATCCTATCTTGACAACTAGACTGCCTACAGCGACAATCTGCCTAAAAAGGCTACCTACCGAGGCGCTCTGCCTTATACGTCATACTCTACCAGACTGCCTACCGCGGCGATCTATCTCGCCCGGACTGCCTACAACGGTGATCTGTCCATTATAATACCATACTCCCTTGGTAGGCTTATGACTTAATTTCTTGGTGTACACAATTAGTCAAAGAACAATGCACTGTATGCCTCAATACAATTCAAATATAATTAGGCAAAACCCACTTATCATGTATAGCCTACAATGGCCAAATCATATATTCATCCATGATGAATTCAGCAAGCATTAACTCATGCTTAAATCAATCATGAAGTACCTTAAAATACTTGAATATGAATTTCATGCTTATGCATCAAAATACATTTGTAAGCAAGTGATAGAGAAAATCATAAATTAAAGAATATGTAACCCACTTGCGTAATGTTTGCATAATCCAGGTTTCTGTGTGGTCTTTCAAGAGCTGCTTCTAGCCCTTATTAAGGTTTCCTACTATCAAGATAATTATCATCCAATTCTACTCATAAAGTGATATCATACAAGTAATTGCACCTAGAATCCACATACATCTAATTATTGATTGAAGCATAGTAATTATATATTCCAAACTTAGGTCCTGTAGATTTAAATGTCACAAGGGTATTTCTGGAATTTCAAAAATTACAGGGGCCTGAAATCTGCAAGGGCATTTCTGTAATCTCTGAAAATCAGCAGGGGCTTAATTGTAATTTCTCTTCTCAAACTACTTTAGTGTAGATTTGTCATAAAACTACAGGGGCCTGAAATCTGCAAGGGCATTTCTCTTTTTTGTTCTGACTGCAGCATTTCTCTTCTTCGTGCTGGCATCCTTTTCTTGTTCTCGTCTTTTGTTGCTGGATTAAGAACACGGAATGGAAGTGAGAGAAAGAGGATTATTTATCGTCCACCTTCTAGAAAGAGATGTATGTCACCTCTCTTTCACAACAACCTGCCACCTCCGCCTACAGTCCACCTCATGCTTACTCAATGGAATATCTCTCTCTCCTCCCATTTCTTGATGCCAGCAACACTATTCATATTTCCACATCATTTATTTTCTATTCCAACAACATATGCATTCCAAATATTTATTAAATCGTATAAATTCATTATCAAATTCATATGAATTATAAATGTCCCAAATAACAATTTGGGTAATACAGTTGGTGCAAATAAAGTGTTTAACTACATTGGCACATAGAAAAAATACTTGAGGATAGTTGATTGAGGAATGCATTTAGTTGCCAGGGAAAAAGGCCCGTCGCCACAGAAGGTCAAACACAAAAGTGCTGAGATCATAACCAAGTATAGGTAGAAGGAACTTGCAGAAATAAATAAAGAATGCCATACTGCACCTGGACCATTTCGCTGATGAAGTTCAGACCACCAGGTCCAATAAGAGATCCCGCAAGCAGGTAACCAACAATAACCTTGCAAATTAACAAAGTAAACGATGAATCCCACAAGCAGAAGAAAGGCGCATATGTTAGATCAAACTTAAATATTTTCTCAATGGGTAAAGGAGCAGTACTAACCGGTTGGCCTAAAAAGGAAAAGAAAATACCGCCAATGGTAGCAGAAACAATTACAACCACCAAATCAGAAATTAACCTGCAAGAATGGCGTAAATCCAAAGCTTAAGTCACAAGAAAATATAAAATTAAACGAAATTTCTCCATAAGAAATCACTTTTCTGCCACTTAATAATTTGATAAGCTGTAATGTATAAGACTAATTTGTAGCAGAATCAGGCAGGTTAACCTCAAATCTACTTGAAGAACTGGATACTTCGATTTACGATTGGACATCACAAATACATTGTCCTGCCAGAAAATGAAAAGAGTCAAGTTTAATCAAATGATATAAGTATGATAATCATGCGCGATTTTAACTTTAGTGTACTTAATAACATTCTTGCTCATATCAGTGGACAAAATTGCTTAAGAAAACCTTTCGATCAATCAAGGTTGTCATATCATCAGAACCCTCGTTTTCCAGTGAGAAAACATCTTTCATATGAAACGATTTAGTTGCACTGCAAGAAAATACGATTAGGATAAAACCAAACAGAAAGGATATTGTATGCTTATCATAGGATGGTATGCTAATATTGATTTTATTTGATAAACATGCATACTTTGTCACTGGAGTATCATTCTTCTTGGACTTCTCATGAGAAATAACAGCCACCGTTTCCAAAACAGCCTGGGATATAATACAGAGAAAAAAATATTACAAACCAAACAAACTACAAATACTGAAGGCATACTAGAATACCATTGTTCATGTCTTAGCATCAGGTATAAGAAATCACAGAATAGAACACTAATTCTGCTCAAATGCAAAGCAGGCCACTACAGCAGTTGCTTGGATAACTACATTGACTAACAATTTATGAAATAGCACCCTCTTACTGCATGTCAAGATGCCTGTCATCAAATACATATATATCCGACAATAAGAAATACCTCTGTAACAAAACTGATGGTATTCACCGAACTCATATACGTAAGAGTTGTAATAGGACAATGACTAATCTTGCTAATTGCCACTCAAAGAACATAATTTCATGAGGATTCCATTGGACAAGATAAAAGCTGCCTCGAGTTTAAAAGCACAATATATTAGAAAGACAATGAGAAGTAAAATACAAAACGAAAGTTCTAAATAAAGGTCTCTAACATGTGAAACACAAGCTATCTGACCATACTTCCACCTGCTAACTTGTTAGACAGACTGCATCAACAACAGACAATAAAACAACTGAGAAAGATTAGTGAAAAATGAACATGGGGATCAATATGATTAATTTTACTGGTGACAAGAAACCCTGGCTAGATCAATCAGGTATTAGGAATGAGGTCCAGAGTTCGAACACTCCCAACCACAGAGGAACAAGATACAGAGTCTAAGCTATCCCACAACTGGGAGTAAACTCTACACTGGGGACCCATGTAAGTAGCACAGGAGAAGCAATACCCATTTGATGGATATTGGGGACAGGGTGACGTAGGCACCAGTCGATCCTTGGACCTCTTAGTCCAAGGACCCAACACCCAACCGCTGGGTCACCTGCAAGGGGTGATCAATATGATTTCTATTAACATAAAGATGGTTCAAATGACTACAACATGCTGGGATGCATATTAGTAGGAGAGGTAAATAGTAATAAAAATCTTGAAAATGACAGTTATGGAAACCGGGGAAAAGGGAGCATGAAAGTAAAGTTGTCTCTTTTGGGTCCATAATATCCTCATGGAGCGAATATTCTTGTGTTGGAGAGAAAGAGGAAGGCTAAAGCTTCAAGGATCAACTCAGAAGTGAAACCGAACATATGCCTGCCAGCAAATATTTTAAGAAAGATATGCAGAATATTACAGTGAATACACCACTATATATGAGTTGGGTAGATCGCTAAAATTGCATGCATGGAGCATCTAGGAGGACCGGCAGCTAACCACTGATATTGTATTACCTGAAGCTCACATCGTCACCCCCTATTGTATACTTAATACTAAAAATGAAGGAAAACAAACACTAACAAACAAACAAAAACAGTCAAAAGTAGAGAAGTATAATGTAAGCTCAGACAGTCAGAGAAAACATAATAAGAGATGCAAACTAGTTCGCAAGCTCAGTGGATTGTTATAATTAAGGAAGGTCAACTGTAAGCATCCTCCTAGAACAGTGCAGTTGATTCCACCGAACAAGCATCCTCATCGAACAGTGCAGCTAATTCCTCCCAACCGCCATCCAATCCACTTTCAAGGTTAATAGCCTCCAGTTTATATTTCATCATTTTGATGCATCTGATCTGCCCATAGCATTGCACAGGCCCATCAAGTAGGCTCTGTGAATAATTTGACTCACGTGCATTGAATTATATAATTTTTAGCCCCTTGTTATCTTTTTTTATACTTTATTGTCTGAATAAATAGAATAGATGATGATTATGTTTCTTCTGCAGGTATAATGAACTGATAAGACTTACAAATAACATCTTCATTACTTGTACTCAGTGTGCCAAATCTTAACAAAAGTTTCTCTTCTGCGTTTAATTTAACCTGACATTACTTATACAGTATATTTTCTTTCGTCATCCTTTGTACTTTCAAGACCATGACATAAGGAAATTAGTTGGGATAGTAATGAGGACAATAATGAGGAGTTTCCTTTTTCTTTGTTATTTGATTTTAGTTCTTCGAAATTTGAATTTTGAATTGTAATTTAATTTTAATAGTTTAGATTTGAATTTCGAATTAGGTTTAGATTTACTAGTTAATAATTGTGAGAGATTTGATTTTGTGAGATTTTGAAAAATCTGTAATTTTTCTCTATTTAAGGGATAGATGTAATCAAGGAATGATATTATTGAATATTGAATGAAAAATTGTGTTAGCTAAATCCGGTGTGAAGCCTTGGGTGTGAAACCCTAGGTCGTTCCCTGTTTCTTCTTCCCACAGCTGACTTTTCTTTCTCCTCCACGTAAAGCAACTCAGCCGCCCAACTCCAATCTCCTCTTCGTTCCCAAAACAATCGCCTCCCTGACCACTCCTCTTCAACTCCCGTACAAACCCCAATTCCAACTCCACTCCAACAAACGTCGCCACCAATCCCATCTCCCTGCAGCCGCGCCACTAGCCGCCCTTCCTCCTCCCTCTCCCTCGCTCCCTATCTTCATCTTCTTCACCCCCGACTAAATCGAACCCCCCAATCTTTCCCTGCCCCTCCTACACCCTTTAAGCAGCAACATCCTCCCTTGCTTCTTTTCTCCTCCACAACCAAACAAGCCCTAGCCCTTTCCCCATCCTCCTTTCCACCGACCAGATCTCAGACTAGGTCCCAGCAGCCTACTTTCAGATCTCGACCCACCGCCGATCCACTTCTCCGCTAGTCCACTTCGTCGACTCCATGTTCGACGCCATTACCCATGTCGCTGTCCAGTTTGACGCCCTCGCATAGCTATCCAGTCGACGCCACCATCATCACATCATCTAGTCGACGTCGTTATCCTTGTTGGCACTCAGTTCGTCGCCTTCGACGTCAGTCAGTTTGGCGGCGTCGCACACGTCGTGTCTGTTCACACCGACGAATGTTTCGCTTTCTTTAATTTTCTATTTATCTCATTTGTTAGTTAATTGCATGAGTATATTGTCTCTAAACTATTATCACATATTCATTGCTTAGTTCATACTTGTGAGTTGAAAGTAACTGAGGATGTGACTGTGACACTTTGATTTTGATTTTGGAATGTGCGCAATGATAATGAATACTATGATTACATTGTTTGAGATTAAAATTGTTCATGATTATCGATGCAAGTCTTGTTAAATCCATCTGTCACGTTAATTGTTTTGAATTTAATTTCCTGCCAAAGATCATGAATTTTGGCAAGACGGTGCATTATTCGACTTAGATCGTTGATTCAGATAGACCTCCTGCCCCGTTTCGCATCATTTTTTGTATCAGAACATGATTTTAGGTTAGAAAATTTATTTTTAATTGAGTCTTTTATTTGATATAAAAAATATATATCACCAGTCATTTCACTTAGCTGTTAGTGCATCCCATTCATATCCTTTTAGTTGTAGTGCAATCCCACTCGCACAGGTCTACCATATCGATTAGAAGAGTCAAGTGACTAGAGAATCCAGCATGTCTCCTGAAGTCCTGAAGAAATTCGCTAAACTAGTAGCATAATTTGATACCATAGCAAATTTCCAGAAGGAAACCAACGAAAGGATTGCTAGGCTCGCAGGAGCATGTGTTGCAACTCCGCCTCCACAAGCTCAAGGTCATAAGCACATCGTTCATCGACCCCCACCTTAACATGTGTCTGATCCACCAACCTTTGATGGTAGGCTCGACCTACAAGCTTTTTTGGAGTTGACTGAAGTTCAATACAATGACAACACTCTGATTATTCCCCAAGCTACCCCTCCGATTACAGAGTTCATTGATGTTATCCCTAAAGTTATTCATGAAATTGAAAATTCAACCCCTCCTAAACTCCCTCCCGTGATTAAAAACGTTATTGATATTCCCCACGAAGTCCTCCCGAACAAACATAACACCCAACATGTTCCTGTATTGGCTCTTGAAGCGATTAACTCAGATATCTATATGGAAGTTGAAACTCAAACTGAGCATAGTGAAACAGCTACCATATTAGATATCAAATCCCCATGCATTGTCCTGATAGTCACTCACACATACACTGATCCTTTTGAAAATATATAGTGATTAGGGATATAAGTTTGAGCACGAGTGTTTTCATTCTCTCTCATGTTAATCGCACAAAAACACTCCTCATGCACGCACTTGTTTGCATGTTCCTCACTATCACTGCTAGAACAAGAAATTTGTCATTCATATTCATGAAGGAACGCCTAATTATTCCATTTGATAGAGGACGTCATGCACTTTAGACACTTTGTTGAGTTTACATCTGCCATTGATCACATTGTTCGAGTCTGCATTTCATACATAGTCATTTGAGTTGATTTGCATCATTTTGTTTTGATTTGCATTTACATAGTCATTTGAGTTGATTTGCATCATTTTGTTTTGATTTGCATTGATCATATATTAGGGAATCAGTGATCTAATTTGAATAAATACATCTTGTTTTGATTTGCATTGATCATATATTAGGGAATCAGTGATCTAATTTGAATAAATACATCGTTAACTAAAATGTATGATATGAAGTCAGGACATAATTTAAAATTGTTAATGCTGATATTTTTTAAATGGTTTGGACTTGTCCAATCCAGTTCTTTTATAGCTGTTTGAGATTTGACATGATATTTATCATTATTTTAAAAAACCTCTGCCTAATCCGCTTAGGCGTACGCCTAGACCTAGGCGGTACCTAGACCTAGGCGGTACCTAGGCCGCCTAACTAGCGCCTAGCGTCTAGACGGTATTTAGGCTGCCCACCTAGATTTTACGAGCGTTTAGGAGAGCATTGTCTGCTTACGTAGATTGCACTCTGTAGACCTTGATTGTGATTTTATGTGTCGTAGCCTATACGTCCTCCAAACTCCATTAACCTCCAAATATGAACATCTCCACTACCTCCTCCAACCTTCAACAAAACCTCATCGACCGCCACTTAAATGAAGAAAGAAAAAAAACGTCCAGAAACCGCTTAGGCGCCCGCTTAGGCGACTAAGCGCTGGGCGCCAAGTCCGACGCTTAGAAACGCCCAACATTTAATGTAACATTGATATTTATGAACTTTTTCAACTCTTGAAATAATTAATAGCAACATTCATATTTGATCATATAATTCTACTCTCAATATTGATTGATTAAGCATTTCACAATTTTATTAGCAGTCCACTGATATAAGTCTGACCCTAGCCTATTGTTACTGAGAGTTCTTTCACTTTAACTCAGTTTTATATATTAACACATGCAACAGTGAATTTTAATAATATTTTAGATGGTGAATTTACAATCCAATCTAGCTAATGATTTGAGATGCAGGAAAGTAACTGACAGCAAATTAAAATGCAGACAAAGTATATTAAAGATGACAAGTTCCTGCAGCTAACTCGACAGAGTCGAGTTTTCTCCCACTCGGGGAGAATAATGAGGACAATAATGAGTTTCCTTTTTCTTTGATATTTGATTTTAGTTCTTCGAAATTTGAATTTTGAATTGTAATTTAATTTTAATAGTTTAGATTTGAATTTCGAATTAGGTTTAGATTTAGTAGTTAATAATTGTGAGAGATTTGATTTTGTGAGATTTTGAAAAATCTGTAATTTTTGTGAGATTTTGTGAGATTTTGAAATTTTATGGAATTAATCTGTTGTGTTATCGATACTATTACGTATCATTTTGAATAATACATTGTATTATTTTTGCTATTACGTATTATTTCGTGTATTATGTTGAATTATTAATTACGTATTATTTGTGTAAATTATTGTATTATTTTAATTATTTCGTATCGGCTGTCGTATTTAGTACAACTGGTATATTTTATTATATAGATAATTATTCCATAATTATTTGATTTTAAATGTAAATAAATATATTTTTTATTTTTAATTATTCTCGTTTAATTGTACAATAGGTGAATATTTCAACTATTTTATATCAATTGTTGTATTAACACAACAGGTACGTTTTTGTTTGTAGATAATTATTCTGTAATTAGTTAATTTTTTAAGTACCCATAAGTAATTAATTTAATTATTTAGTTAAATACCAAAACCCTAATTTTCTTATATATATGATTGAGTGTCCCCAACACACATCAATATAAGTGTAGTGATTTAACTACCCTAGGATACACTAGCTCCTAAATATTAATTATTAAAAGCTATGGTCTAAGATACTTTAGAGCTCAAAATGCTAGAAACTAAATCCTTCACTAAGAAAACCACACTTCAACAATATTCTAACAAGTGTTTAAGAAGCAAGTCACACCTACTTGATGATCTGTGACACTGTTGTTGAAGCTACTTGCATCAGGAGCTGACAAAATAAAATGTCATCTGGTTAGTATTATTTATTACCAAAAAGTATTTATGACGCAAGTTGAAAGTAAATGGCATCCACATAAAATAGTTGCAAGACTTGAAAACAGTTCAGTAAAACTAATGAAACTACATATTTACTGATAGAAAAAGTGGGTATTTATGGTATCAGTTTTATATAGTGTGAACCTTCACAAGCTATGATGACGAATTTAAGTTTATAAACATATGTTTCTAGTAGATATATGCCATCGTCAAAACACATGCTACAACCAAAGAGTTAAGAGCAAAACAACAGCAACAAAGAAAATAAAGTGTGTGACTGCATAAAACGTCTTTTCGCTATTCATGTTTGCCTAACACCTCTCGGCTATATTAATTAGATTAGAGTTATTGAATCATGTTTTACTGCCAAACACCAATTGTATTTAGATAAACCTCTAGCATCAAAACCTCAACTACGTTTTTGATAAGATATGCTTTGAGAATTGGGGTGTGTTACAAGAGGAAGAAAACTGTTCATCAAATAACAAATTAGAACTGTCTGTTCAGTAACAAGCTTTACAAATTGCAAGAATAATTATTATCTTGGTACAGATTGAATTTCAAAAACAAAAAGTAGTCTTCATTCTGCTAAATATGTGAAACACAAGAGTAGATATGGTTTCTCAATTCTAATCCAACTTCTCTGATCCAAACACTTAAGCCAGGTTGATTAAGCATTTTCTACAAGAGAGATAAAAATATGGATAATGTATCCTACTTTCCTTGCAACAAAAAATTCCTTGTCCATAAACAAAGAAAGCTTAATTTGATGCAGGTATAGCACATAAATTCTTCCTACAATAGTCAAAGCTGATATAGGTATATTTTGATCAGTTTTAGATCTTTTTCAGAAAGATCATATAGAAACATACGGGCAATAGAAAATAAAACAATTTAAATATGCAAACAGAAAAAGGGAATGAGTTTTCGTACAGCAAAGTGTAATCTCGATCCTTTCATGTTAGGGTAAATTGCATCCCCCACCCCCCAAAAAAAAAACTCAACTGTACATCCACTTTCAACACCCTTCACCTCATTTACTAGCACTTCACCCCCTTAATTCATGAGAATAGAGGTATGACTTATAATGTATCTTTGTAAACATGGCAATCCAGAGGTATTGAGTGCTAGTATATAAGTTGAGTGGTATTAGTCCAACTAATGGCATATCTAAGGGGAGTTATGTGCAACTCACCTTTTATTTTACTAGTGAATAAACTAGAATAGGTGTTTGCTTTTTTTTCGCCTAAAGTTTAAAAGAAAAGATTTTATCTCCCGTTGTAAGAGTGGAGGAACTATATAGAATGCATCTGCTTTTTTTTTGTTGGCCATTCACATAATTAAAACTATGAGGACATGAATCAATACAAAGAGGTTCAGCTATGTAAGATTCTCCAAGAATTGCAAATAAAAGATTTACAGCAATTCATCAAATTTCCCATCATCATTTAGCATCTATCATAGACCTCGGGTCTCCTAAATGAGTACTAAGCATCATGTATAAATGGCTAAAATTATTCTCATATAGCATCACAAACCACTGACTGAAAACGAATCCCTATATAAACAATACAAGAAATTCCTTGAATATTGACAAGCATTAATTCATACAAGAGTATTAACAAAAAAATATCTTTTTTTCCTTACTACAATCAGACGCGAATAAATTAATAGAAATCCAGAGCTAATTAGGGATTATTTAAGATAGTCTACTATATCGATCCTCAAGAACATCAACGAACTCGGAACAAATCTCAGGAACCGAATTAACAAAGAAAGAGGAGATCGCCAAAAAAATCAACCTTCAGGCGAGTCGTTTTCAGAGAACTCCTTCTCTAGCACGCGATCGAACATATCGGCGATACTTCCGTCATTTCCACTACTGTTACGAGCAGGGTCCATGGCGAGATTCCCATAAAACCTCGCCATTGTCTCTTTATCCGGCCTTGCCCTCAAAATAGGCGGCGAGATCAGAACGAGGCAGATCAAGAACAGATCCATCGAAATTGCCATTGGATCGAAATTGCGAGGAGAGCTACCGACGAACAACAATTAACGAAGAGATTCGAATAGAGTAGTCATTTGGAGGGAAGGAAGCAAGGCTAGGGTTTGGTTAATGGAGAATGGGTGTCGTTGAAGAGGCTACGCCTTCTCCGGGGCCTTGACAGGTAGGTAAACCTTCAGGCTCGGGTGCCCCGCGGGTCAATGGGATCGATTTGTTTCGATTTATTTAGGAAGAAATTTTTGATTTAAACCCATTCTAACTTTTATTTTTAGAAACCGACCCACTCCCATTTTAATTACAAAAACCGATCCATTTCGTGGTCATATCAGTATCGTGACCATGAAATGGATCAGTTTTTTTTTAATCTCGCCTCTAAATAGTCGGGATTGCTAACCCCGACTATTATGGACGCTCTGGCCAAAATACAGGCTAAATTAGTCGAGGTTGGCAACCCCGACTAATTTAGCACTCTGTCTAATTGGTCGGGGTTAGGAACTCCGACCAACTTGAAAGCCTTTTCGAAATAGTTGGGGTTCAACCCTAATCATTTAGTAGAAACTTTCCACGCAAAAGAGGTGAGAGTTGGCTAAGGCAAAATAGTCGAGGTTGGGAACCCCGACCATTTCGTGTAGGTGCATAAAATGGTCGGGGTTGGGTTCCCAACTCCGACTATTTTGCAGAGCTCTTCCTGCCCACTTTCAGCTGGAAATCAAACTCTTGTTAGTACATATCAATCCACCAACTAATGATACACATTTATCAATCTACAATGCAATCACAATCACAAATAACACATATCAATCCATAATCGCAAACATTCATTTCACTTACTAAAAATCCATATTCAGTCGGATACATATCATGCAATTCACATACTAATAATCAATACTCAATTGGATACATAATATTCAGTTTCAAACAAAAAAATTCTATCAAGTATATCGAAACTTAACAAATATTTACAACTCCCTTTCCCTCTCCCTCTCCCTCTCCCTCTTCTTCCTCTCCCCCTTCCCCGTTCACCTTCGATGTGAGCTCGGATGCCGGTTGTGTGTGAAGTTAGGAGTGCATGACATCCTCGTCGACTCGAATCGGCTGTGAACATTCGGCTTAAGCCTGCTGTGAGCCACCAGCTTCGTCATGTGCACGGCTTGAGCCTGCCCCCCATGTGTCCTCGGAACCGTCGACACTCGTACTTGTAGGCATATAAAATTGCTTATAGGTCCCTTAGCACAGCTCGGCACAAACCGACGAACCAACGAGGCGACGAATCACACGCAAGCAACGGAATAAGTCCATTCGCGTTCGGAATCAAGCCAAGTGTTGAAGAGTCAACGAGTCATCCAACCAAGAGCGGACTCGGACGAATCACGATCGAATCAAGATCAATTTCGGACTCGAACTCCCCAAGGCACAGTGAGGGTAGCCTATAAATAGGCCCCCTTTTGTTCATTTTCAAAGGTTGGACTTTTGAAAGTCGAAACTCTGCCGGATTGAAGATCGAGCTCGGAGTTTTGAAGACTTGAGGACTTGAAGATTCAGATCTGATTCTCGGCGAGCGTCTACGTCACAAAAGGCAGGAGCTCGAGAGAGGTAAAAGCTCAAATCTGAGATCTACACGAAACTACACTCCGGATCTAAGCTTGGTCTTAGATCCCGAGATCCGAGCGATTATTTCCTTAGTGAACTAATCCCTCCCGGCTATTATTCCCTTCGTGGAATAATACCCGTCAAATCGTGTAGATCCGACCGGATCTAGATCGCGCGGTGGTCCACGGATTAACCCCGGCATTGGCAAAGAACCCACAAAAGCGAGCGACCGCAAAACAGGAGCTCGCGATTTGTTCACAAGGAGAAAGTTGTAATTTTTCTTTATTTTCTTTGATTTCGTTGTAACCGGATCTAAAAAAGACCGGATCTTTTGTAACCACAAAAAGTTGTTATTTTGAGATCACAATGACATCAATGAAGAAAACGATTTTCCCCGCGAACAATGACTATCTCACAGAAGATCACGACATGGGAGTTATGTAGATTTTGACTTGGCACTGTACTTATGTTCTGAGATTAGTTGTATTTCTTTTATTATTGTTTTCTATACTAGAACCTCGGGTTTGGTGTTTAGAGATTTACAATTGGAGATACAAGGTATATACATGAGGGTTTCCTTGTTTGGATTATTTCGCTCGACGTACCTATGCTCGTGTTGTAAATTTCTAAATACTAAAATCCTCTTTAGTAAGATCAATGATTTTAGAGTTGCGTCAAGTGAAGTTCCACCGGCCTCCAACCAGGTCAACCTTACTCCCGCCGACGCCTCCACCATTGAGGGCGTTGTGACTCTCTCAAAGAGAGCCCGCCAGAGGCGTCGTCAACGCCTTGCGCAGCAACTCGCCAAGGCGATGGAGTCTACAGACGGATTCCGCTACAACGCGGATTTGAAGGACAGAAGAGGCAAACAGCCTCAACCACCAATGAACGGCGACTCCTCCAAGCCGCCAAAGAACGAATGGGTCCGCGTCAAACAGAACCGTTCGACACTTGAGGAGCGTATCCGCAAGCGCCGCGCGATGTCAGCACAGGCACGGGCTAAAGTCCAGGAAGCCCGTAGAAGACTGCAAAAGGAGGTGACGAAGAAGCCACCACCAACCCACCAAGTCTGGAAGCCGAAGTCTGAAGTGGCGACTCAGGCCAAAAAGCAACCATCGCAGCCTTCTAAGCAAGGTCAAACTCCGGCGAATCAACCAAAGTCGCCGTTAATTCCTATGGCTACTCCGGGAGATCATGCAGAATCATCCCGAAGGAGGAAGCCAGTTTTGGAGCGCCTCAAAGTTCCAGTTCACGAGCGTTTGGGCCCAATGAAGAAGCCCAGAACGACTCAACACGTTGGGGGTCACCGTCACCTCCAGTATGACAAAGAGCTCAAGGCAACTGCGCGCACCAATTTGCGCATCGAAGTCCAAGAGCACACTGAAGACGCGCCCACAAAGGCACGTTTCGAGGCGTGTAACTTTTGAAAGCCCAAAGAAGGCGATCCAACCTCAGATGGAAACATTATCATCTGATAGTGATAGTGTTATACCTGAGAAGTCGTGCCCGCACACGATAGGTTACTCCGACTGTCAAAATGATGAGTTGTACTATCGTGCTGGGGGTACGAATAGAACCAGGAAGAGGAGTCCCCGAGAACAGGAAATTCAATGCCCCTGTTCCAAACTCATTCGGGCGGTATTGTCTGAATGCAACTGCATCAAGGCGGTCCCCGAAAGAGTTTCAGTTTTTGAAAGACTCAGTGCGGAGACGCCAAAACCCAGGCCTAGGCGTTTTCAACGAAGAAGAAGGATGATTGAAGACGGAGAATTTCCGAGGGTCACCACCAACATGACCAGCAAGGGGACATCGGCACAGGATGATTTCGAGTCGATTCTGAGAGCCTCCCGGCCTAGAACCCGTCTGCAATCCGGAACCATCAAGCGAACAACCTACGGTAGGGTTCGGACAAGACTCCCTTCAGAGGATGAAGAATCTGATGCTGGCTCCGCTGTCGCCTCAGACAATACAGTATCCAGCGAAGGGCAACCCCGCGAATCACTGATGATAAGCGCGGAGCAAGTGGCCAAAATGCTTGAAGATGCCTTAGCTAAACAGCAGGAAACCTTCAGGTTCGAGATGCAGATGGCCATGCAGAACATGAGAGAAATGCATGACCAACAAATCCAAGCACTGGCGAACCAACAGTGAATCTGGAAGACGAGGATACGAATGAAGCTCGTAATACCAATAATCCTCCCGTCAATGCAGGGGGTGGTAATGAAAATGCTGGTGAAAACACAGATGAAAATCTGAAATTTAAAAATCTCGAGAGCAAAATCAATACATTGATTTCCGCTCAAGAGATGAAAAAGACGGGCATTCCTTGTCCATACCCAAGAGAGTGGGAATCAATCCCATATCCGGCGAAGTTCAACCTAATTAACTTCACGCCATTTAATGGGATGGGTTCACCCACTCAGCATGTGATTTATTTCAAATCACACCTGGGGGTATCATTTGATTTACTTCAAATCGCACTTGGGGGTAATCTCCGGTAATGAGCCTCTGATGGTGCGGTCATTCGTCGGCACTCTTCGCGGAGCCGCCTTCGATTGGTATCGCCGCCTCAAGCCAGGAAGCATAAACAGCTGGGACGACATGGAGACGAAGTTCCTTACAAATTTCTTCGACGACGACACCGAGATCTCTATCGGATCGCTGCTCGATGAGAAGCAAAAAGACGGGGAGTTAGTCGACACCTTCGTCAAAAGGTTCCGGAACAAGGCGATGAATTGCCGGGACCCGATCACAGAGGAGTTCATCCTCCAAACTTACCACAACAACCTCGCGTTGGACGTGTTGGAAGCAATGGGAACAGCACCGTCTGACACTTGGAAAGACTTGAAGGTGCGCGGTGAACAAGCCGAACGCTTCCTTAAAAGGAAGAAGGCCGAAAGGAACCAACCGACGGTTAATCTGCTGGACTCAAACTTCGCTTCCCGTGGTAAGGGCAAAGCACCTGCAGCTGCTGGTGGTGCTAATCAAGCGTCACAACAGCAATCCCGAAGGCAGCAGAAGACTTCGGGTCCGAGACTCCAGAGAGAGTATTCCTTCAAGGACGAAGACGTTCCAACCATCTTCGAATCGCTCCTCGAAGGCAACAAGATCAAGCTACCACCTATCACGAATCAGGAGGAAGCTGATAACACTACGGACCCAAAGTACTGTGCATACCACAGAAGGGTTGTTCATCCCACCAAGGATTGCTTTGCTCTCAGGAATAGCATTCAGACCTTGGTCGAAGCCGGCGTTATAACGCTAAGGTAAGCCAAATAAAAACGGCAAAACTCCGACCGGTATAAGAGTATAAACTGCTTCCTGACACTCCAAAGAGTATACGAGTATAAACTGTTTCTCAACACTCCGAAAAGTATACGAGTATAAACTGCTTCTTAATACTCCAATAGGTATATGAGTCTAAACTGTTTCCCCACTTTTGACGGGAAGTTCCTGGAGAATATTAAGCTAATATTCTTAAGGATAACCCGGTTAGTTAACTGATAATAATGTCCGAACCAGTTCCGCAGAGGAAACTGGGGGTGGACGATTTATGTAACGGGAAGTTCCCAAAACCACAGCAATGTAATGAATAAGGACTCCCATTCACCACAT